GCAAACACTAGCCATGAAGAAGTCTATGATATTTTATTCAGTAGTCATCTCACAAAGTCATGCTAAAAACATCCATAGGAGCACTAGACAAAAGTTATCATAGAGCAATGACTATTAATGAAAACTGTAACAGTAATATGGATTGTTGCATGAATAATAAACAACTGATAAAATTATCCACCCCTAATCTATAGTAAATATTAGCAATAAATAGACTATGGTATAATTTTACAGTGTTCATCCTTTCAAAACAGAAAACATCTTTCACAAACATCTACATCTCTGTCTCACCTCACTAATCACCTTCAAACCCTGGCTACGGCTATGATAGTAAGTTCTGAATTGCAACAGAATGAGCATCCTCTGATGATTGGTATCATATGTGCTATGTAGACCAAACAGTTATCTCTTATTGTATGCAAAATTAATAAAGTCATTGGCACAGACTGCTATGACTTTGAGCCATCCAGTAAAACAATCAAATCTGTAAAGCAAGCCACAACACAGAACAAGCAAAAGTTTTCTGGACCTGTTTCCTCCTGTTTATGTTAGTAAGGGAGGTAGTGTATTTTGATGTATTTTTGTTTTTTCCTTTTGGTAGTTTAGTTAGTTTCCCCTTTTATTTAGGTATCTAAATGAATCCACACAGAATATCAGATCGAATCAGTCATATTAAAACAGCATGAGTGATTTAGCAGTATCTCGTCTTCTCTCTTTCACCCTCAAAACAGGTTCACATCAGCGCATCTCGCCTGCACTACAAGACAGCCGCTGCACGCTTTCGCTCGTGTTACGGGACTTATCCGAAACCTAATCGGGCCACTGTTGCACCATCACAAAACTGTGTCATTTGCACATCTTTTTAAGTCTTTTTAAACCATTCAACTCATTCATATTTCCGTTTCATGCTGTGATGTGCTCACCTGTAATAGTTGTCAACGATTTTCCTGTCAGATGTTAAATACTGTAGACATTTAGTAATCGTCTTTAAGATGTATATGGTTTATGTAAATTCATTTTGGAGACGTACGTGTGCTTACAGGAGATCTGCTGTTAGCTATACATAATAAAACGTGTTTTTACAGCAAAATCACAAATATACTATACTATTAGTGTCTTCAACAATTCAACAGTTTACTCTACAGTAGCTGAACAAATGCGGTTTTAACACAAGCATCCGTGTTTCTGGTTTCTAATACTCACATTTGTAAACACCCTCGTCGCTGTTCTCCATCACGTTCGATGATGATCCTCTACCGTGGGCTTCTGGGATAGAAAAGTGTCCATCGGATGAGCACTTCAGAATCTGGACATCCGGGGATTTCTCGCCTATTCTTTTATGAATACAGCGGTTTCGAACGTATTTCTTTCTTCATATACTCTTTTCTCCTACTGTATAGTAGATAAGTAGGCATATTCGAACGCAACTTAAGTATAAAGCCGCCAATGTGATGTGATCCAAGATTATCTCCAGCTATGGCACACAATGTTCCTTTGTCTAGCTTTCCATCAGCTAATACAAAACCATTTTCCTCAAGGTCTTTTACCAGAGTGGCAAAAACCACTGTGTTCCTAACTGCTCAACAGATGTCTTTGTGGTCCTCTTTTTGTGATACCTGAATATATGAGTCACGTTAACTAAATGTGAAGCACTTATGTTAGCGCCTGAGCTTCTTCTGATTTTTCAGCCTGAAATTAAAAAGCAAGGTTAAGTTTTTTTTTCATTGTTGGATTAAAAGAAGGCATGAATCAACATTTTAAACAGCATCAAGTGCCTGTGATTGATTTATATGTTTGGTTCTTTCCCTTTATTATTATTTTTGCTACGTGTGTGTTCCTGCACAGCAAGTCTTTATGTGGATTAATAAAGATTATTCCCTCTGTTTATCTCCGTCGTCTCCACGCTCCTCGTTTCGACACAGTAGGCAGTCCGTGACAACATCAAGTTTCTGTGTTTCTAAATGTTTCTCTGTGTGTAACTGACTGTATAACTGTATGTGTGTGTGTTTCATTTAATGGTTTGAACGCATTCGTTCCAGCCAATCAGAAACAAGTTTTTAGACAGATCATGGTATGATTTAAAATATCTTGAACATTGTGAATATTCAATATATCACCAGCTGTAGAAGCAGCTCAAGTCTATGAATGAAGTGTTTCTGATGTTTCCACCGCTGCTCCTGTTCACATCCAAACCATAAAGCAGTGTAAGAATAATGAACAAACTGATTCATGAGTCTTTTTCTCATTTGTTTTTCTTAAAGCGAACACGGGACTCGTCTTTGTCAATCAGCTGAAGAGTTGGAGAGACGCTCAGAGTTACTGCAGACAGAATCACATTGATCTGGTCCGTGTGAGAAACCAGAATGAGAGTCAACAGGTTCAGAAGATCATTAGTGATAATCACGCATCTGGATCATATGTCTGGATCGGTCTGTTCAGAGTCAAAGACTTGTGGCAGTGGTCAGATCAGAGTAACTCCTCATTCAGATACTGGAAGTCTGGTGAACCTAATAATGTTGGAGGTAATGAAGACTGTACAGTGACTGAACCGAACGCTCAGGGACTATGGCATGACATTTCTTGCACCAAACAATATCCTTTAGTGTGTCATGAAGGTCACAAAACACACACAATCCATCATCACCTCCAGATCTCCTAAAGTTCACGCTGAATGTCCGACATGACAAATTCATCTACAGTGCTTCTTCTGCATGTTGTTTTTGATCAGTCTCTCTCTAGCTTCTGCTTGTGCTTTGTTTGGTTTCCAGATAAACTGATTGTGATCAGAGAGAATCTGACGTGGTCTGAAGCTCTGAGATACTGCAGACAGAATCATGTGGATCTGGTCTCGGTTCATTCAGAAGAGATTCAGCGTCGTGTGATGAACGTGGTTAAACGGGCGTCTACTGCGGTTTATTAGGGTGCTGTCTCTTTAAGACTGAAAACACAGATCTAAAATACTGATATGCATCCGATTTCTTTCCCAGCTGTTTATGTTCATTTAACACATGACTAACCCAGCAAACACAACTACGATGTAAACATGTTTTTTTTTTTATTTCACATCGTTTTTTTGTCGACATACTTAATATAACAGATGTCTGTTTTTTTCATGTTATAAATACATTTTTTACAATGTTGCGGAAACATTTGTATGTCAGAACGTCTTCTTGCGAAAACGTCTGATTTTACAACATTGGAAGTCTGAGGCAGTACCAACATTTGGATCATGGAGTTGGGAAAGATTTTGCATTTGGAAAGGATTAGTTTTTCTTCTTTTTCGAAAGGAAAGAGCATGTTTTTTGAGCATGTGGGAGTCATTTATTAAAGGAGACATATTATGCCCCTTTTTACAATATGTAATATAAGTCTCTGGTGTCCACAGACACAGACACAAATTTCAGCTCAAAATACTCCACAGATAATTGATTATATCATTTTGAAAATGCCTATTTTGAGTGGAAGCAGAAACACGCCGTTTTTCAGGACTGTCTCTTTAAATGCAAATGAGCTGCTGCTCCCCGCCCCCTCTTCCAGAATAGAGCTGCGCTTTACAGCTCGTACCTGCTAAACACATCTGTTTTGGTTCTGATTATCATGTTTATCGCACTGAAATCATGTGTTTTAAACCATATGAGTTTAAACTTCTTGTATACGGTTTTCTGAGCGCACACATCTGAAGCACACGCACAGAAAGCGGCTGTCACAGCATGTGAGTACTAAACTAAGCTCTCATTCACACAAGTTTACCTTAAAACACATGAGTTACAAAAACAGTGGGTTATGTCTGTGAAGGTAAACAGCTGGGAAATAAATTGCATGTTTATTTTAGATCTGTGTGGCAGCAGCAATATACAGTAAATACATCAATAAATGCACTGCTCTGTTGTCTCTGAGGCTGGGACTCTAAACAGTGTTCTGTGCTCGTCTGTGCAGACAAACACAGAACAGTTAGCATGTTTTGCCTGAACTTTCATCATGGCATTAGAGCTGGTACACCATTGTCGCTTGATAAATCAAAATGACGGCGCTGTGGGTGGAAACTTACAGATTAAGGGGTGGTAATATTATAATGAGGTACCTTTGCCACGTCACAGAGGGAGTGAAATCAGACACTCGTTTTCTCAGACGCTTGCAGAAAAAGGCTTCCCAAAACAAAGTGACTGGGTTCATCTTTTTCACGTTTCCTTGGTTGGTAGATGCACCAGGGACCTGATTATAGCACTTATATCATGAAAATCTGACTTTTCCAGGTTTTGTCACCTTTAATTTGATGGGCAAATCGGCAGATTGTGTTGGTACATCACAGTTGTTGTAATGTTTTACTCAGATCTTTTCTTTTGTCATCATTGTTGCATTTTTTGTTTTGTTTTGTTGTATTTATTGACCCTGTTATGTTAGCGTATAACCACCAAATGTACGAAATGATTGTATTATAAAAATTAATAAAACTAGCTAATTTTTATATATATATATATATATATATATATATATATGAGGATATAGCGAGGGGGAAAAGATCAAATGAAGTGGTGTCTTCTTATTTTTCTTTATAATTCGTCACATTATGTCACACGCTACATTATTCATGTAAATCTGAATATTCAGCTTATTACCAGCACTTTTTTACACTTCACCTTACCTGTAGGGTTGACCTCTGCTGGTTTTGAAACATTATACAATCAAAACATTTTATAAGCCTTCATTAACATTTGTAATAATTATACTACACACAAATGTGGTTACTCATTAAACTTACTCACAACATATATAAAGTCCATCTGATGGGCTAGTTCCCAAAAAAGAAATAACAAATCTGTCATCGTTTACTCATCCTCCTCTTCACTCCACAAGTGAGACTCACAGACGTATCAGGACTTATTACGATCTCTTATATGGACAAAGACATCCAGTATTTTTTTCCTACTATGGAAGTCAATAGTGCTCATCAACTGGACCACTGTTACACCACAATAAAGGATGCATATCACTCTGTCCCATGGGCAGCTTTGGGGCTCTCTGATCACTGTTTGGATCATCTTATACCAATCTACAGGCAGAAACTGAAATCAGCTAAACCTGTATTAAGGACTGTAAAAAGATGGACTAATGAAGCTGAGCGGGATTTACAAGCCTGTTTCGACCTCAGTGATTGGAGTGTTTTTGAAGCTGCAGCCACCAATCTGGACGAGTCAAGCATTATGTAATGAAGAATTAACTTACAGATGATGCTTTTACAAATACAAAACAAAGGAAGGCATCCAAAGATTGAAGAAAAACTGACTGCATGAGAAATATGATCAATGCTGAACTCACTTCACTCAGAACTGCCACTAGAGGGCGCTAGAACTCTACAAGTGACAAACTTTGAACAGAACAGGTAGATCTCATTGAGTTTGTCATTTAAAGACTACATCCTCACACAAAAAAGTGTGGGCACCCCTGTTCTAAAGTCGTAACAACCTAAAAACTGAGTTTTCAGGTTTATAAACTGTTGAATGTAATTGCCTTTAAGGTACCTCTCTCAGTAACTATGCTTCTGTACTTTTTTTTGTCATTATGAAACATTCAATTTCAGTAAATTTATTCAAATCACATTGTCAAGATGCACAATTTTACCAGTTTAGTTAATGGCATTTCTGTTTGATGTTGTTGGTTTTATCATTTAAGTTAATCATTAATTTGAGCTTTAGATATTATTATATATTTAGATATTATATTATTTTAGTTAGTCAGATGCCCCCGGGGGACTTATTGCCAAAGGTAGGGGGTAATTTTGCCTCAATTATGGGGGAAGATGGCCCCCTTTCATAATTGCATTTTTAAGCCATTTCAACTAAATTGTTAATTGTTTCCATTTGATTTCCATAGTATTGTGTTGGGTGACACATAATGATCCTCTACGTGCAAAACTCTATGTAAATGTGTTTCAGTTTGTCAGTAGATGGACATTGTTCTTAAAGGAACGCTCCACTTTTTTTGAAAATAGGCTCATTTTCCAACTCCCCTAGAGTTAAACAGTTGAGTTTTACCGTTTTCGAATCCATTCAGCCGATCTCCGGGTCTGGCGTAGCACTTTTAGCTGTAGCTTAGCATAGATCATTGAATCTGATTAGACCGTTAGCATCTCGCTCAAAAATGACCAAAGAGTTTCTATATATTTCCTATTTAAAATTGGACTCTTCTGTAGTTACATCGTGTACTAAGACCGACGGAAAATGAAAAGCTGCGATTTTCTAGGCCGATATGTCTAGGAACTATACTCTCATTCTGGCGTAATAATGAAGGAACTTTGCTGCCGTACCATGGGTGCAGCAGGCGCAATGATATTACGCAGCGCCTGAAAATAGTCCCAGCTAGGTCACGTTCAATAAGCCTATTTTCAGGGGGTGTGTAATATCATTGCGCCTGCTGCACCCATGGTACGGCAGCAAAGTTCCTTCATTATTACGCCAGAATGAGAGTATAGTTCCTAACCATATTGGCATATTATTTTAGAATTGCGTGGAAAAACAGTATGTCCAGCTATAGACAGGCTCTAAAAGCTGCCAGGGCCGAGCATATCCACAAACACATATCGCAGCCAAACTAGTCAATGCTTGTGTTTACACCAGTCGCGCTGCGACATGTTTCAGAAGCGTCCTAGCGTCGCTAAAGATAGCTGCCTAGCCTGTTTTGTCCAAGCCGCACAGTAAATACAAAATAAAATTTAAAAATCCTGTCAATTTCAAAATAAACACCCTACACAGACTCCTGATCGTATTTCACATCACTATATCCTTGCCAGGAGGCCAGAAATGGTATGTGAAATATAGATACAAGATAACTGAGGATGTATTTTAGATGACTATATACAGCTACAAATCTTTTATCCTTGTCGCTCATAACTGGAATTTTAAGTGTATAAACTTTGTAGTCTACAGCACAACAAAGTAGGGCATATCAATAAATACAACTATAAACAAAATTAAACTGGACAAAATATAAACATTTTGCCAACTTAGCTATGTTTGAACACAAATAATCAAGACAAACATTGTAGGACAGGCATATCACGTGTTCTCGCGAATCCTGTCGCTTCTCTTCTAAAATGCTCCAGGTGTGAGTTGGCACCGCGTGAAGGACGGAACAAAACCTCATCGGAGCCGTAACGCGCCACAGACGAATAAGGGGTTACTGTGTCGTGTTTCTCAGTTCAGTTCATTTACATAGTTTCTTTGCAATAGCAGGGCTCGCAAAATCGCTAGCCCGACGTCCTGGGGCTATTGTGTTTTCTGGGCTATTTTGAATAGTGATATAAAATCCCTTCCTTGATTCTCATCGTTCACTCGCTTGTAGGGGTGAACCGGATCATAGTTTATCACTCACACGTGTTTCTAAGTCTTACCAATTTAAACATTCAAGCGTTTTAAACCATGCGCATGAAGAATTCAGTTCGGTGCACACGCTCAAAGCACGCACATACAAAGCGGCGTTTCAGGCAGAGCACGAACACAGAATTGATTCCTCTTTCGCTTGAATGGACACATACACTCAAAATTATCAAAAAATAACTATCTCGGCAAGCATTTTCATGTCTTAAATTAACGTAAACAGTGGAGAAAGAAATCGCACGTGCATCATTATATTGGATCCGTGCATTTGGTCGTAAAGGGGCAGCAGCCTATAAATACCTGCTGTTCCATAAGCGCCACCTGCTGTCAGCGAGTGACATTTGCGTCTCATTCAGCCCGTCTGCTGTTTTTGTTTCGTTCAGATTTTTTATGTAGTATCACAAAGCTAAAGTCAGACCATTTTGTTTTTGTGTCAAATTTCAAAATGTTACAATCTAAATAACATGATTAAAATACACAGGCAAAACTTTAGTTTACTCGCATGGAGAAATTTCTTTTATTTGTATTATTTATTTGATTTGGGATT